TGGTGGCCAGACATGGTGGCTCATGCCTGTTATCCCAGCACTTTGGGAGGCTGAGGCGGGTGGATTGCTTGAAGTCAGGAGTTTGAGACCAGCCTGGGCAACATGGTGAAACCCCATCTCTACTAAAAATACAAAGATTAGCCAGGTGTGGTGGCAGGCACCTGTAATCCCAGCTACTCTGGAGGCTGAGGCAGAAGAATCACTTGAACAAGGGAGGCGGAGGTTGCAGTGAGTCCAGGCTGCGTCACTGCACTCCAGCCTGGGTGACTGAGTGAGATTCCATTTCAAAAAAAAAAAAAAAAAAAAGAAATATGTGAGGAGGAGGAGGTGTAAAAGAGGTGGAAGTTAAGGGTCACTTCATTAAGTAGGGTTATTCTGGACCATCATAGCCTCCATTTCCAAGTCTCTGATGATAAGGGCTATTTTCTCACCCTGGCATGGAAAAGGTGCCCCTCCCAGAGGGGCATCATTGCTCGCTGCATGCAGAGAGCAACAAGTTCAGCTCACTCTTTCTGCAACTAAAATTTCACCAATGTTTTCAACTCAAAATAATCAATATACCAATCTGGCATATTTTGGAATAGCACATCCTTCACTCCTTCACTACCTTTTCCTCACAGAGTCACGTTATTTCAGGAATCTAAATTTGGGCATATATATTTTTTAATACGAACTAAGAGGAACCAATTTAAACCCTGGAGCTATTATATGTTTTTTATTAATGGTTTCTTTTGAATTTTTATGACTTTTATGTCTTAGCATAAAATGGTTGCTCCGTGTGACATATGCAACATTTATAAATTCACATATTAGTCAGCTACAATTTTATAGCTAGGTGAGAACATACTCTCTAATAAAATTATATGAAAATATTTGACTCTACTGAACATTTACTCTAAGTTGTCATTCAAGGGTTATCTTGCTTCTTAGTGTGAATGACAACTTTATGTTAGCAGCTTTTGATTGATAATATTATAATTCAACATAACTTTATTGATCATTTACTTTGTGTGAGGTCTTGTGCTAGGGTAATGGTAGATTAAAGGTGGATAGTTTCTATCTTGAAGAAGCTTTCTCATGATGGGCACAGTGGCCCACACCTGTAATTTCAGCAATTTGGAGGCTGAAGTGGGAGGATTGCTTGAGCTCAGGAGCTCCAGATCGGCCTACAGAACACAGTGACATATCCATTTCTTCTTTTTTTCTTTCTTTCCCTCCGTCCCTCTCTTCCTTCCTTCCTGATGGAGTCTCTCCGTTGCCCAGGCTAGAGTGCAGTGGCGCAATCTCACCTCACTGCAGCTTCCACCTCCCAAGACCCCATTTTTAATTTAAATAGAAAGAAGCTTTCTTTGTGGATGAAGAGATAGACATGCACATAATTGGCTAGACTGTGGGGCATTATCTAAGAATTATAAGCCAAGTGACAAGCAAGTGCAGTGGAGAAAGATATTTATTTTGTCTTTGGGGTTGGGTGAAAACTTCACAGTGAATCTGGCAGTTGGGCAGCTCCTTAAAAGACTCTGAAGTAGATGAACTGCAAAGTGAAAGAAAGAAGGCCAAGTTGAGAAAACACATATTTTCTTGGACTCACATTATCTTGATATGGTGAGTGACGGGATATAAGGGTATGTTGATGCATATTGTAGATTAGTCTGAGGTTCCATGTACAGGGCCTATGAATTTTTGGAAAATACTCATGTGGAATACCAAAAGAGGCTGAAAGCAAATCTGACTTTAGATTGAGCATATTTTTGCAAAATAGCATAAATCCCAGCAGAATGTAATTCCCCCCTCCCCGATTGTTAATATTTTGTTTTGAATTTTAAAACAGAAAAAGCTGAGGGTGATTAGGATGATAAAAAAGATTTATTAAAATGCTTTCAAAATCACCTAGAATTTGAAGTTTATTCTGTTTTTACTTGGTTAATGTCATCTGTTTTCAAAATAAAGGCAAAGCAAGAAAACAGTTTCTGCTACAGCAATAGCGATTTTTGTTTCACTTTTTCAATCTGCTTTTCGTTTTATTATAAAGCCAATTCTTAAAATGCACATTGACTTCATGCTTTCACATTCTGCAATCTTATTATAAATGTTTCTCTCTGAATTAATTCTGATATAGTTGTTCACTGCATGATGGCTGAATTTTCATAATATATGAGCTGCAATATTAAAGCACAAAAATGATACTAGTTTAAAAAGGAAACTAGTTTTAATTCTGAAAATTTTCTTATAGCTTTGTGTATTACTTAGCAGAGTGGTTCTCAAACTTTTTGGTCTCAGAACCTTTTTACACTCTTAAAAGTTATTGGAGACCCCAAAGAGCTTCTATTCATGAGGTTATATCCATCAATATTTAATGGCTACGTTAAAGTTTTCAAATATTTATTCACTTAGAAAAATCTATCATGTGTTAACACAGATAACATATATTTATTTTTTTAAATGACAATTTTCAAGAAAAAAATGTTAGTGATAAGAGTGCCATTGTTTTACCTTTTTGCAAAACTTTTCATTGTCTGGTCTAACAGAACACAACTAAATTCTCACGTGCTTCTTCATTCAACCTGTTGTGAAATTACATGTCATGTAGCCTCTAGAAAAGTTCTCTGAATACTCAAGAGGATGAAGAGGAAACAGAGGCAAACAACATTTTAGTATTATTATGAAAATCATTTTAACCTCACAGATCCACTGAAAGTGTTTGGGGTTCCTAGATCACACTTTGAGAACCACTGACTTAGAACAATATTTATTCATTGTTAATTATATATGAAGATAAATGGAACTCAAAATTACTTAGGTACAGATACATATATCAGGTAGAAGTAATGACATACATTTGTTTTAGCTTTCCTACTTACACAATCTGAATTTCTATACAGGTTGAGTATCCTATATCTGAAACGCTGTGGATGAAAGGTGTTTTAGATTATGCATTTTTTTGAATTTTGGAATATTTGCATGTACATATATTGGGGATAAGACCCATGTCTAAACATAAAATTTATTTGTTTCATGTCTGAAACACACAGGCTGAAGGTAATTTTATACAATATTTAAAATATTTTGCACATAAACAAAGTATGTGTTAAATATTTATGCGTGGAATTTTCCACTTGTGTTGTCATGTTGGTGCTCAAAATGTTTCGGACTGTGGGCCATTTTAGATTTCAAATTTTCAGGATAGATATACTCGACAAGTATTATGAACTTAGTTCTCCTCTCTGACAAATTATTCCTAAGAAGTGTTATGGGTTAATGTAAACATCTAGCAAAAACTCGGCCCTATTATGTCAGTCTGCATGAAAAATAACCACAAGTTTTGACCCACCTGTACCTTTAAACCTCATTCAGAATTATTATTATTAGTAGTATTATTAGTATTATTTTTGAAATGGAATCTCGCTCTGTCGCCCAGGCTGGAGTGCAGTGGCACGATCTTGGCTCACTGCAACCTCCGCCTTCTGGGTTCAAGCGATTCTCCTGCCTCAGCCTCTGGAGTAGTTGGGACTACAGGTGCGTGACACCACGCCTGGCTAATTTTCTGTGTTTTTAATAGAGACGGGGTTTCACCGTGTTGGCCAGGCTGATCTTCATCTCCTGACCTCGTGATCCGCCCGCCCTGGCCTCCCAAAGTGCTGAGATTATAGGCATGAGCCATCACGCCTGGCCTCTGAATTATTTTTTTAAAAAACTTTTTACTTGGAATAATTGTAGATTCAGAGAAAGTCACAAAAAATGTACAGAGAAGTCCTATATACCCTCAGCTTGTTCCCCTATTGATAATTATCTTGTATAACTATAGTACAATGTGAATACCAGAGAACTGACATTGCTGAAAACTGTAACTTATTCAGACTTAAGACACAGACACACACGTACACACATAGTACTAGTACTCTGTTATGCGATTTTATCTCATGTGTAGATTAGTGTGACTAATATCCCTGTCAACACGCAACTATCCCATCACCACAGCTCCCTGTGCTATCCCTTTAGAGCCACGCTCACCCTTACACACTTCTTTCCCAATGCTAACTCTTTGAAACCATTAATCTATTCTCTATCTCTATAATTTTATTTTCACAGTGTTATATAAATGGAATCCTATAGTATTCAGCCTTCAGTCAGCATAATTTTCTTGAGATCCATTCGAGTTGCTGTGTGTATCAATAGTGTGTTCATTTTTTTGTTGCTGGGCAGTATTCCACACTATGGATATACCATCATTTGTATAAACATTCACCTGCTGAAGGTCATTTGAATTGTTTCCAGTTTTTTGGCTACTCTAAATAAAGTCTCTGTGAATATTCATATATAAGTTTTGCGTGAATATAGTCTTCATTTCTCTGAAATAAATGCCCAAAAGTGCAACTGTTGGGGCATATGGTAAGTACATGTTTAGTTTCATCAGAAACTGCCAAACTATTTCCCAGGGTGACTGTACCATTTTATATTCCCACCAGCAATGCCAAGTTATCTTGGTTCTCTGCATCCATGCCAGTGTTTGGTGTTATTTTTTATTTTAGCCATTCTGATAGAGGCATAATATGTCATTGTGGTTTTAATTTGCATTTCCTTAGTGGCTGATAATGTTGAATACTTTGTGTTTATCCTCCATCAAATGATTGTGTATTTTATATGTCATATATGAGCTTATATATATTTTCTTAGGTATTACCTGAGTTCCATGTTTTACAAATAAGAATATTGAGGCTTCTTAACAGGATGACATATTTAAAAAGAGAATTTACTGTAATTATTATTAAACCCATTTCTAAAAGTTAATGTGAGAAATGAGAAGCTTCAGTTATCTACTTCCTTCCTAAGGAGAACTTAAAAAAAAATTTACATGGTTTAGTATATGTTGGGAGCTAAAAGCAGAGAGGTCAAGACACTGATAACTATTATTATTTGTAATGTTGAAACTACTGGTTGTTGTTATGGGTGGTAAGCCAATTTTAGATTAACTCTTTTTCTTTTCCCATGTCTGTCTGCAGGAGAGCCATGGATTCCTACAGAAAATATGCAGCTATCATTCTGGTCACTTTGTCGGTGTTTCTGCATATTCTCCATTCCCTTCCTGATGGCGAGTTTACAGGGCAGGGTATGTGACCAGGCTTGAGTTTGAAGTAATAAGCACAACACACATTTGTAGATGTACATCAATAACTCCATTAATTACATTTCTACCTCCTTTTCAAAAGTAATAAATCTTTGCTGCTGGATTCACATCTAAGCACTTGTAGACTGTGAACATAAAATTAAATTAAGTTCAGAAAATGTGCAGTGAAAATGATATCTTACACAACCATTTATAGAGCAGCCTGTACATTTTCATCTGAAATAGATTCCTTATTATTCTTTATTTGAGTCTTACAAGAAGAAAATGCTCCTTATTCAGTTAGCTCAGTTTTTTTTACATTTCTCCCAGAAGATTTGAGAAGATTTTAACATTGCCTTTGTAGATGAATTTCCACATCAGTTAACAAGTGAGGAAAAACAAAACCATTTTATACAGCAAATTTGTTTTGTTGTATTGTCTGAAAAATCTCATATAGTAGCTGATATAATTCCTTCTGCTTTGAAATTGTGAGCTACTATTGGTTATGGTTTTTCTCTAGATAAGTGGTAATATTTTAATCCAGGTCCCAAGTGGAGACGCCTGATCTAATATCAGGCTCTTTACACTCACCAAGCTTTCTTAATTTTGACATATTTCTCTCTGTCAATATTTGGAGTTACTGCGGGAAAAACAATAGCAGATTCTAAAGGGGAAAATATTTTCCCTTTGGGCATAATTTTCTTTTCAGTTGAACATGATGTTTTCATCTGTCAAGTTTATGTTTCCTTTAGGCATGCCGTTAGCATTGGGATAGAGAATCCATGCTTGAATAAAGAGTGACTACAACTGAAATTTTCTATGCATATCTGTAAAAATGTTTGTTTTTAAATTTTATTTCCTATGAACATTACTCTAATTAGTATAAATATTAAATAGATATTATCAGTGAAGATTAACATATAACCAAAAAGCACTTACTTAGTTCCCTTTCATTTTTGATGGAAAAATAATATTCACCATCCCATAATAAGAAAACATTCATAGTTTTTTTTCCTTTGTTGTTTGTTTTCTCTTTTCTTTCTTTCTTTCTTTTTTTTTTTTTTTTTTTTTTTTTTTTTTTTTTTTTTTTTTTTTGAGACAGAATCTTGCTCTTTTGCCCAGGCTGGAGTGCAATGGTGCAGTCTCGGCTCACTGCAACCTCTGCCTCCTGGGTTCAAGAAATTCTCCTGCCTCAGCCTCCGGAGTAGCTGGGATTACAGGTGCACACCACCACACCCAGCTAGTTTTTTTTGTATTTTTAGTAGAGACGGGCTTTCGCCATGTTGGCCAGGCTGGTCTCGAACTCATGACCCTCTGGTGATCCACCTGCCTTGGCCTTCCAAAGTGCTAGGATTACAGGTGTGAGCCACCCCATTTTCTTTCCTCTTTTTCTTTCTTTCTTTCTTTCTTCTTTCTTTCTTTCTTTCTTTCTTTCTTTCTTTCTTTCTTTCTTTCTTTCTTTCTTTCTTTCTTTCTTTCTTTCTTTTTCTTCTTTCTTTCTTTCCTTTCTCTTTCTTTCTTTTCTTCTTTCTTTTTTTGAGTCAGAGTCTCACTTTGTCATTCAGGCTGGAGTGCAGTGGCATGATCTCGGCTCACTGCAGCCTTGACCTTCCAGCTTCAAGCGACCCTTCTGCCCCAGCCTGTCAAGTAGCTGGGACCATAGGTTTGTGCCATCAGGTCTGACTAATTTTTGTTTCTTTGTAGAGATGGGGTTTCACCATATTGCCCAGGCTGCTCTCGAACTCCTGAGCTCAAGTGATCCACCCACTTTGGCCTCCCAAAGGGCTGGGACTACAGGTGTGAGCAACTGTGCCACCCTCATAGTTTCTTTTTGAATCTTTGGATTATTTGACTGTGCCTTTTTTTTTTTTTTTCCCTAATAGAGTGCCCGGAATGCAAGCTAAAGGAAAACAAATACTTCTCCAAGATGGGTTTCCTAGTACGTCAGTGCATGGGCTGCTGCTTCTCTAGAGCATATCCCACTCCGTTAAGGTCCCAGAAGACAATGTTGGTTTCAAAAAACGTCACCTCAGAGTCCTCTTGCTGTGTAGCTAAAGCATATACCAAGGTAAGAACCTCAAGGGCCTCAGAAGCTTTCTAACAGCCCAATCTGAGAAATATTCATAGACCCCACCCATGGGGTTTAATGCCAAAGGTTAATGACCCAGACTCTGTTGAGCATTTGTACAGGCAGGGACTACATTTCTACCCACTAATTAAAAGAGCCAATTGTCTTGTGGGTACAGGCCGGATTTACTCAGAATAAGGAGAATAGTGGTAGAGGGACAAGGGGCAGGTTGGGAGAAAGTAAGCTTACTTGTGCTAAAAATATCTCTTAAAAGGGGGACTGTGCAAATGTAGTATGCACGTATTTATTTCAGCAGACTGCAATTTTATTTAATATTCTTCAATTTTGTCTCTCTATCTTCTATCTATAATGTATAATATCTGTTTTTTTCCTTCCCCTTTAGGCCACCATAATGGGGGACATCAAAGTGGAGAACCACACGGAGTGCCACTGCAGTACTTGTTATCATCACAAATTTTAAACGTTTTGCCAAGTGCTGTTGTGATGACTGCTGATTTTCTGGAATGGATGATTAAGTTGTTCAGTGTTTATGGCTTTGTGAGATTAAAACCCTCTTTTCCTTACCATATCGCTTTGACACGCTTCAAGGATGTACTGCAGCTTTATTGCCTTTCTCTTTATCCCACAGTGGAATCAGTAGTCCAGTTCTTTTCATTTGGAATGAATACAGTATTTAGCTCGTTCCCCTGCAAATAAAGCCTTTTAAATCATCATTCAGTCACTGAATTATCATTCTTAGTAAAAGTAAAGCCAATTGCTTTGACAGCATTAATGGAGGAGAGTGGGCCATTGAGTGAGTTGGGGCCACATGTGTTTGGTGATCTAACATTGGAGAGCCTTGCTGTCACCACACCTTCTAGCAGCGTGTGAGTCCTTTCAGCTGGTGGGCTACTTATAGGACATTTATTGGGACAAGAGAAGAAAATATGAGAACTTCTATTTCTATTCATTTTTATATAATTTTTAAATTTCCATTTTGATGGATTTTATAAAAATACAGATACATTAGTATGGCAATACACTTACACAATTTAAACAAATAATTATCCATATATTGGGAACGTTTGATCAGAAACTTTTTACTGTTAGAAAAGTGCAATTAAAAACCAAAAGAAAAATGGATGTGAGAAAGACAAAATCATTCCCAGACTGAAGTTTCTATTTACTTGCCTTATGTCTGGCTAAAAATCACTCATCTTATTAGTCCCTGGCAGCCAGGCTATTACTGAATAGTCACCAAGGAAAGGGCATCTTTGCACCCAATTAAAACTGGGCATTGCTCTGAAATTCCAGAGGCATCAGATTTTGTTTTTCACATTCAGATTTGGCATCTGAATAAATGATGATCAAAATATTCATTTAGCACTCACTGTGGTCTAGGTGGGATGCCCGGTGTATTCACTTTGTTTTAAAAAATGTTTAAGATGGCCAGCTTTGTTGGCTCACACCTGTCATCCCAGCACTTTGGGAGGCCAAGGTGGGCGGATCATTTGAGGTCAAGAGTTCAAGACCAGCCTGACCAACATGGTGAAACCCTGTCTCTACTAAAAATACAAAAATTAGTCAGGTGTGGTGATGGGCGCCTGAAATCCCAGGTACTCAGGAGGCTGAGGCAGGACAACTCCTTGGACTCAGGAGGTGGAGGTTGTAGTGGGCCAAGATCATGCCACTGCACTCCAGCCTGGGCCATAAAAAGTGAGACTCACAGTCTCAAAACAACAATAACAACAACAAATAAAACAAAACAAAACAAAAAAAACAAGAAACTTAAGAGTAGTTCCATGCTTCAATATCACACTTATTGAGCATTTATACTTAGAGGTGGTCCTTACCTTGAGGACAATGGTATTGTAACTATTAAATTATTTTAGCCATGAGGGAGATCACAGCTACTCAATAAAGTCCTGCTCCTAACAGAGCCTGTAATTAAAAAAAATCATATTGGTCACTAATAAGATTTTCAGAAAGAAATTTTGATCATCACCCATTTGTCAAAATTTTATTTCTGAGTGTCAGGCCAGTTCCTTGTTTCTTAGCTGGTTGGTAAACATATCAGGTGTTAGGGTAATAAGTTAAAATAGGAAGTGCATGTACTTTTCTTTCTTTCTTTCTTTTTTTTTTTTTTTTTTTGAGACAGAGTCTTGCTCTGTTGCCCAGGGTGGAGTACAGTGGTGTGATCTCTGCTCATTGGAACTTCCACCTCCCAGGTTCAAGTGATTCTCCTGACTCAGCCTCTTCAGTGCATGGGATTACAGGCACATGCCACTACGTCCAGCTAATTTTTGTATTTTTAGTAGAGACAGTGTTTCACCATGTTGACCAGGCTGGTCTCGAATGCCTGACCTCAAGTGATCCACCTGCCTTGGCCTCCCAAAGTGCAGGGATTAGAGGCTGTGAGCCACTGCACCCAGCCATTTTTTGTATTATTTTTAGTAGAGACGGGGGTTTCACCAGGTTGGCCAGGCTGATCTCAAATTCGTGGCCTCAAGTGATCCCCACCTTAGCCTCCCAAATTACTGGGATTACAGGCATGAGCCACTGCACCCTGCTATTGCATGTACTTTTTAAGAAGCATGAAAAGACACATGAAGACATTGGTCCATGTCTTCATTTATTTATTATATTTTCATTGAATGTACAGTAAGTGTTGATATTTTGTTAGATCATTGGGATTTAGATATCAGGAATCTCTGGAAGATAAGATTGAGAAAATATAACACTGCTTAATCAGTGAAACAATGGTGCTGATCGTTGGTTCATGCACGTATTTAGCAGATATTGACTGAGAACTTACTAAGTGTCAGGTCTGGAGAACTTGTTTGGAGGGCTCATCAGTGATGGAAAGCTTCTGACACTTCTTGGCTAGAATGTCTCTGTTCATCTGGGACCATTCTATTGACAGAGGGAATGGAAGGGACACTCAAGGAGTAAAGAGAAATGACAGGGACATTCTTGTGTCCATTCAGCTCAGCCAGGTTAATCCTGGTGAGCACTAGGTAAAATGTCATAGCCATACTTACCTCTTATCTTACCATGTGCCAGGCATGGTGCTGGTCCAGTGAAGGCCAAGATGAATAAGACACATACTCTGCTCTGAAGCAATTCACAGTCTAGTGCAGAAGAGCAGCATAAGCAAATTACAATCAAGAGAGATGTACACTATGGGAGACGAGTGAACTTCGGTGGAATAAAGGAAATGGCTTATGCAGCCTATTGGGGCTCGTCATAGAGAGCTTCACAGGGCAACATGATCCTTGAGTTGGGTCTAGAAGATAGGCAGACAGATGGGGGAGGGTGCATTTTAGTTTGAGGAAACAGCATAAGCAATTATTCTGAGATAAGAAACACTGAGAACTCAAGGAGCTCAGTGTGACTGGACTGCAGGAAGCTGGTTGGAGGGCTGGAACTGCAGCGATAAATACGAACCTGTCAAGAAGGTCCTTGTATGACATGCAAAGAAATATGGATTTTAATGAGGGTTCTAGTTTCTCAAGCTGGAGGGCTTGGGGGTTCCTGAAGCCACAGAATAAACAAGAACCTTTCTGCAGGATCAATTTTGCTTGAAGGTTCGGGGAAATGTGTTTTTTACTTCAAAACAAAAATGGATATATGATAGAATAGAATGCAAAATTGCCAAAAATAGGACGACAAACAGTTGACTTAAAAAGAAACTTCATGCTGAGGGTGGGGCCTTTCGGATCCTGCTCTTCTGAGCCCTCCCAAACCTCCAGTTTCACTCTTGCATTAAGAGAACTTAAATGGAGGAGTTTGAGAAGTGCTATTAATATTAAAGGAGGGGTAGTTGCCGGACTTCCAAGTTTCTGGATGAGTCTGGCTGAGAAAATGATTGTCATGGCTTTTGGCCCAGTCAATTTGAAAGCTCTGAAATGAGCTCTGTAGAGAAAAGATTATAATCTCAAATATATAAGCAGCAAGGAGGAAGAGAAGCTGGTTGTGGAGGCTGGCAATTTTGTTTGAAGACCATCTGTGAAAAATACCTGAAAGAAACCCTAAGGCAGAGTAAGCACATGTTTGAGGGGGTGCTTCTATCAAAAATACTGTCTATCGTACACCTCAGCCAGAAAGCTGCTCCGAATTCTCCCCTGTGAGATTCCTTCCTTATGGCTAAAACATGGTATCCCAAGCACCTACTTTTTAAATGACAACACTCCTAGGAGGTGCAATGCAGTTGGCCATTAATAGTTTAAGAAACTATGACACTAGTTTAACAGACCATCAGTTCTGTCTGCACTGGAAATTCTGGACCCTTGTTGGCTGGGAGTTTGGGGTAACTGGCATCATGTTAAAAGGATAAAGCAAAGATGCAAGACTTCTACTATTTTGTAATTGTGTCAAGATTTGATGATGAGAAGAAACTCTAAACTGATTATAGGGATATTATTGGTGACCAAGACTCAAGGAGGAGGTCAATGTTAACAGTGGTGGCACTTGGCCTTTGGTCTGTCTCTTGGGAGTTAGAGGAAAGGGCAGGAAATGATGAAAGGGAAAGAGAGTTACTGGGAAGGGGGGAGAAAGAAGAATGAAGCTTCATAAAAAGTGTAGTGAGGAAAAATGTGTGATGGGAAGAGAGAGAGAGGCCGGAAAGGCTGCTGGAGAGTCTCTAGCCTCAGAGGTGGCAGAGCTGGAGTCAAGCAGAACGAACAGGCCATTACTCATTTCCACCCACTCATGCCCACCCCGCTTCCCCTCTGTCAGAATATAAATAATCACCCGTAGTCAAGATCTCTAGGCTGTATGCAACTATTGTACAAATTGGAAAAGGATGACCTCTCTGGGCAGGCACAGCATTTTAGTAAATGTCTTCACAATCAAAAGGTGCAGAAAAAAGTCGTTTCCTTCAGGCAGAGGTGGAGTGGGGTCTGGATAGTTGTTAGCCCTCACTTCCTGATGGGCACCTTTGTGCAGTACACAAACTATGCAACCTTACATGGCAGCTCTGTCTAGAATCTCACCATACTAGTATGACCATTATTGCATTTTGAAAAATAATGGCCTAAACTGGTGAGAATCTTGACATCCCAGATTCCAAATGTTGATGTCTTTATTATCCTTATACTGCTTGGAGTGGGAGATCCTGGGTAAAATACTGTTCCAAATACAGTTTTGTTTGGTTTTACTATGTATGGAAAAAGTAGAAGAGATGTCCAGAATACGGCAAAGGACAGGAAGGTAAAACAAAAGCATACACATGCAAATGACCATGAAGGTGACATGGGGAACTTGGTTAGGACCACAGACTGCAGTAAGACCAGAGAGGTTGACTTACTCGACAAAAAGTTAAACAACATCAAACTGCCTGGCATTAATGCAGCTCTTCTACTTACTTGGAACTTCCCATGTCTAATGTGTCAATGATTCTCACTTAGCGCCTTCCAGACTGCAAGTTGAAACATGTGGCACCATCTTATTTGACAATTGGATAAACAGAGGCACAAAGCTTTGGTTATGTAGGAATGAAGAATGTGTATAGGAAAAGTGGGTATCTCCATTTCTGTGTTGTTTTTTTCTAATTCCAATTCTTTCCAAATCTATGAAGTTTTCACTTTATCTACCAAGAGCCTATTTCCCTCTGGACACTAGTAGAAAACTCTCCTGGAGATTTGCCCAGGATGAAAAGCCATTCTGTTAAAAGATCTGATATTTGGTCTGTGAATTGTCTATAATGCTTTGGTTGGAAGCTTGATTTTCAGCTTCAC